ACTGGAAAGTTACTAGGAGGTACTGGAGAATTACTAGGGGGTACTGGAGAGATTCTAGGGGGTACTGGAGAGATACTAGGAGGTACTGGAGAGATACTAAGAGGTACTGGAGAGATACTAGGAGGTACTGTAGAGTTACTAGGTGGTACTGGAGAGTTACTGGGTGGTACTAGAGAGTTACTAGGAGGTACTGGAGAGTTACTATGAGGTACTGGGGAGTTACTAGGTGGTACTGGATAGATACTGGGAGGTACTGGAGAGTTACTGAGAGGTATTGGAGAGTTACTGAGAGGTACTGGAGAATTACTAGGAGGAACTGGAGAGTTACTAGGAGGTACTGGAGAGTTACTAGGAGGTACTATAGAGTTACTAGGAGGTACTGGATAGATATTGGGAGGTACTGGAGAGTTACTGGGAGGTACTGGAGAGTTACTAGGAGATACTGGAGAGTTACTAGGAGGTACTGGAGAGATACTGGGAGATACTGAAGATTTCCATACCCACGAGTCACAGAGCTAACTCAAGGTTCATCCAAAGGTACACAGAGGTACAGAGGGAAAACTTCTAGAGAATGTACAAAACACACACACACAGAGAGAGAGAGAGAGAGAGAGAGAGAGAGAGAGAGAGAGAGAGAGAGGAGAGGGAGAGAGAGAGAGAAGAAGAGAGAGAGAGAGAGAGAGGGGAGAGAGAGAAAAGGAGAGAGATGAGAGAGAATGAAGTGATATTTGCAAGTAACATTTGCACTTGAGAAAACACAATGGATGATGGTCTCGGCACCATGATGGTAATGCTGGTGCAGTAGTAAGGATGAATGGGAGGGTGTTGGTACCTGGGGAAGAAGTTGATATCCTTGGGGTGAAATTTGACTTCAAACTGACCATGAAGAACCATGTTGTAAATCTTGGAAACAAGGCAGCCAGGAAGGTTATACCATTTCTCCGTATCTCGCATTTGCTTGACAGTAGTGGTTGCAAGACTCTGTATGAGGCACAATTACGCTCACACCTTGAGTATGCTCCACTTTCTTGGTTTGCCTCCCCCCCTCATCTGCGACTGCTTGACAGAGTAGAGAACAGATCAAGACGTCTCATCTCTCGCCTGGACCAATCCTGGATAGATCTGTCATTTCAGCAGAGCCTTCAACACAGGAGGGATGCGGGTGGCCTTACTGTTATGTACAAGGCCAATATTGTCAAAGTACCACACTTGGATCCACTTCGAGGACAGCGTGAAACAAGCATTTATGCCACAAGACGGGCAGAAAGCAGCAACTTCACTCTGGCTGTAACCTTCTCCAGAACATCACTTCATCTGAGATCATGTATACCCAGGATGACTCGAGTATGGAACACATTCGTACAGCATAATGATGTCAACGAGATAAAGTCAGTTGATCAAATGAAAATGCTGGCCCACAGATGGCTCCAACTTCATCCTGTTCCTTACTTGTATGTTTCAAATGAGCTGATGTAGGTAACAGCTCTTAGCTTGTCAATAAAGTTAGGAATCCTTAACTTGTAAATAGCTTGTCAATAAAGCTAGAGATCCTTAACCTAACCTTGTCAAACCCTGCTTAAAAAAAAAAAAAGATGCGAGAAGAGAGGCTGACGACAAGTAAAACCCAAGACTGGAACAGAGCTGTTACACAGCCAAAATCAGGAGGAAGATGTCAGTGAAGGAACAGGTGATAATAAGGATGAAGAAGGAAGGAAAGAAGAAACGAAGGAAGGAAGGAAGGAACGAGGAAAGCAGGAGAGCTCACAAGAAATTACTATGTACACACACACACACACACAGGAGCTATGATTCGACCCCTGCAACCACAAATAGGTGAGTACACACACACACACACACACACACACACACACACACACACACACACACACACACACACACACCTATCTACTGGTAAGGACACGGGCATGTCTGCCTGGTAAGGACACGGGTATGTCTGCCTGGTAAGGACACGGGCATGTCTGCCTGGTAAGGACACGGGCATGTCTGCCTGGGAAGATCTACGATGCGTGTAATATATCAGAAATTCTCTGGGTACACAGATGCCTTAAATTCCTTAACTTATAACTTGCAACAGTGCAAAAAAATGAGAGAGAGAGAGAGAGAGAGAGAGAGAGAGAGAGGAGAGAGAGAGAGAGAGGAGAGAGAGAGAGAAGAGAGAGAGAGATGAGAGAGAGAGAGAGAGAGAGAGAGAGAGAGACTGATCTTACTAAAGAACTAACTTTCAAACCAACTTTATAAATAAAACTCATCTTACTGGTAGGTATATCTACCTGTTTTATCTGCAAGAACTGGTGAGAAGTTCAACGAGCAGATCTAGAAGTTCAACGAAGAGGTTTGGAAGTTCAACGAAGAGGTTTGGAAGTTCAACGAAGAGGTTTGGAAGTTCAACGAGGAGGTTTGGAAGTTCAACGAAGAGGTTTGGAAGTTCAACGAAGAGGTTTGGAAGTTCAACGAAGAGGTTTGGAAGTTCAACGAGGAGGTTTGGAAGTTCAACGAGGAGGTTTGGAAGTTCAACGAAGAGGTTTGGAAGTTCAACGAGGAGGTTTGGAAGTTCAACGAAGAGGTTTGGAAGTTCAACGAGGAGGTTTGCAAGTTCAACGAGGAGGTTTGCAAGTTCAACGAACAAGTCCGAATGTTCAGCGAACAACTTTGGGAAGTTCAACGAACATTTTTTGAGATGATGTGCAACATGAACGTCGTTGTCCTGGACGTTTATCAGCTTACGACCCTCAGTACTGCCCGGGGAAATCTGCCAGACTACCCTCATGTCTACTACCCTCAGTACTGCCCGGGGAAATCTGCCAGACTACCCTCATGTCTACTACCCTCAGTACTGCCCGGGGAAATCTGCCAGACTACCCTCATGTCTACTACCCTCAGTACTGCCCGGGGAAATCTGCCAGACTACCCTCATGTCTACTAGTGCCAGCTTAGTGCCAGCTTAGTGAGAGCTTAGTGCCAGCTTAGTGAGAGCTTAGTGCCAGCTTAGTGAGAGCTTAGTGCCAGCTTAGTGCCAGCTTAGTGAGAGCTTAGTGAGAGCTTAGTGCCAGCTTAGTGCCAGCTTAGTGAGAGCTTAGTGCCAGCTTAGTGAGAGCTTAGTGCCAGCTTAGTGCCAGCTTAGTGAGAGCTTAGTGAGAGCTTAGTGCCAGCTTAGTGAGAGCTTAGTGAGAGCTTAGTGCCAGCTTAGTGCCAGCTTAGTGAGAGCTTAGTGCCAGCTTAGTGCCAGCTTAGTGAGAGCTTAGTGCCAGCTTAGTGCCAGCTTAGTGAGAGCTTAGTGAGAGCTTAGTGCCAGCTTAGTGCCAGCTTAGTGAGAGCTTAGTGCCAGCTTAGTGCCAGCTTAGTGAGAGCTTAGTGCCGCTTAGTGCCAGCTTAGTGAGAGCTTAGTGAGAGCTTAGTGCCAGCTTAGTGCCAGCTTAGTGAGAGCTTAGTGAGAGCTTAGTGCCAGCTTAGTGCCAGCTTAGTGAGAGCTTAGTGAGAGCTTAGTGCCAGCTTAGTGAGAGCTTAGTGCCAGCTTAGTGCCAGCTTAGTGAGAGCTTGGTGCCAGCTTAGTGAGAGCTTAGTGCCAGCTAAGTGCCAGCTTAGTGCAAGCTTAGTGAGAGCTTAGTGCTAGCTTAATGCCAGCTTAGTGAGAGCTTAGTGCCAGCTTAGGGCGAGCTTAGTGCCAGCTTAGTGAGAGCTTAGTGCCAGCTTAGTGAGAGCTTAGTGCCAGCTTATTGAGAGCTTAGTGCCATCTTAGTGCAGCATAGTGAGAGCTTAGTGCCAGCTTAGTGAGAGCTTAGTGCCAGCTTAGTGCAGCATAGTGAGAGCTTAGTGTCAGGTTAGTGAGAGTGAGAGCTTAGTGCCAGCTTAGTGAGAGTTTAGTAAGACCTTAGAGCCAGGTTAGTGCCAGCTTAGTGAGAGATTAGTGCAAGATTATTGTCAGCTTAATGCCAGTTTAGTGAGAGCTTAGCAAGAGCTTAGTGCCAGCTTAGTTTCAGCTTAGTGCCAGCTTAGTTTCAGCTTAGTGCCAGCTTAGTTTCAGCTTAGTGCCAGCTTAGTTTCAGCTTAGTGCCAGCTTAGTTTCAGCTTAGTGCCAGCTTAGTGCCAGCTTAGTGGGAGATTAGTGCCAGATTAGTGTCAGCTTAGTGCCAGATTAGTGTCAGCTTAGTGTCAGCTTAGTGAGAAATTAGTGCCAACTTAGTGTCAGCTTAGTGAGAGCTAGTACCAGCTTAGTGTTAGCTTAGTGCCAGCTTAGTGAGAGCTTAGTGTCAGCTTAGTGCAGCATAGTGAAAGCTTAGTGTCAGTTTAGTGAGGGCTTAGTGTCTGCTTAGTGCCATCTTAGTGAGAGCTTAGGGCCAGCTTAGTGAGAGCTTAGTGCCAGCTTAGTATCAGCTTAGTGGGAGTTTAATAAGAGCTTAGGGCCAGCTTAGTGCCAGCTTAGTAAGAGCTTAGTACCAACTTAGTGAGAGCTTAGTGAGAGATTAGTACCAGCTTAGTGCCAGCTTAGTGTCAGATTAGTGTCAGCTTAGTGCCAGCTTAGTGAGAGTTTAGTAAGACCTTAGAGCCAGCTTAGTGCCAGCTTAGTGAGAGGTTAGTGCCAGCTTAGTGTCGAATTAGTGCCAGCTTAGTCTCAGCTTAGTGTCAGCTTAGTGAGAGTTTAGTAAGACCTTAGAGCCAGTTTAGTGCCAGCTTAGTGAGAGTTTAGTACGACCTTAGAGCCAGCTTAGTGCCAGCTTAGTGAGAGGTTAGTGGTAGCTTAGCCTCAGCTTAGTGTCAGCTTAGTGCCAGACCAGAACAAGATAACAGTATATACTTATAAGGGATAATACAAATGCATAAAATTTTTTCCGAATTTATCGGCCATTTCTCTTATATTTACATATTATTCTGTACAACTGTATGATAATTAATAATAATAATAATAATAATAATAATAATTAATAATAATAATATAATAATAATAATAATAATATAATAATATAATAATTAAAATGCTCTAACAAAGCTTCTATTAAAATTAATAACAAAAATTTTGAAAAATAATTATTTTTTTTTACTGATGTGACGAGTGAGAAGTTGTGAGACCTGGTGGTGGTGTGTTTGTCGGACTGTTGGTGGTGGTAGGTTGCATGGTGCTAGTTGTCCTCGGGTTGCTTGATGAATTTGTAGGAGCAGTTGTTGGTGGTTGTTAGCTGGTTGACTGGTACCTCTTCTTCCAGGGCCACGACCCCTTGTTGGTTCATTGTTAGTCGTACCTGGTGGTGGAGGGGTCGTTAGTGGTGGTGAGTGTGAGGGGGTAGTGGTGGTGGTGGTAGCGTGTGGAGGTAGTAGTGGTGATGGTAGTGGTGGTGGTAGCCTGTGGGGGTAGTAGTGGTGATGGTGGTAGTGGTGGTGGTGGTAGCGTGTGGAGGTAGTAGTGGTGATGGTGGTAGTGGTGGTGGTAGTAGTGGTGGTGGGTAGTGGTGGTGGTAGCAGCGTGAGGGGGTAGTGGTGGTGATGGTGGTAGTGGTGGTGGTAGCGTGTGGGGGTATTGGTGGTGATGGTGGTAGTGGTGGTGGTGGTAGTGTGGTGGTAGCGTGAGGGGGTATTGGTGGTGATGGTGGTAGTGGTGGTGGTGGTAGTGGTGGTGGTAGCGTGAGGGGGTAGTGGTGGTGATGGTGGTAGTGGTGGTGGTAGCGTGTGGGGGTAGTAGTGGTGATGGTGGTAGTGGTGGTGGAGCGTGAGGGGGTAGTGGTGGTGATGGTGGTAGTGGTGGTGGTGGTAGTGGTGGTGGTAGCGTGTGGGGGTGGTTAGTGGTGGTGAGCGTGAGGGGGTAGTGGTGGTGATAGTGGTAGTGGTGGTGGTGGTGGTAGTGATGGTGGTAGTGTGGTGGTAGCGTAGTGTGGGGGGTAGTAGTGGTGATGGTGGATAGTGGTGGTGGTAGTGGTGGTGATGGTGGTAGTGGTGGTGGTAGCGTGTGGAGGTAGTAGTGGTGATGGTGGTAGTGGTGGTGGTAGTAGTTGTGTTGGGTGGTGGTGGTGTGGTAGCCTGTGGGGGTTAGTAGTGGTGATGGTGGTAGTGGTGGTGGTGGTAGTGGTGGTGGTAGCGTGTGGGGGTAGTAGTGGTGATGGTGGTAGTGGTGGTGGTGGTAGTGGTGGTGGTAGTGGTGGTGGTAGCGTGTGGGGGTAAGTAGTGGTGTGGTGGTGGGTAGTGGTGGGGTGGTAGCGTGTTGGGGTATGTGGTGATGGTGGTAGTGGTGGTGGTGGTAGTGGTGGTGGTAGTGGTGGTGGTAGTGATGGTGGTAGTGGTGGTGGTAGCGTGTGGGGGTAGTAGTGGTGATGGTGGTAGTGGTGGTGGTAGTGGTGGTGATGGTGGTAGTGGTGGTGTAGCGTTGTGGAGGTAGTAGTGGTGATGGTGGTAGTGGTGGTGGTAGTAGTGGTGGTGGTAGTGGTGGTGGTAGCCTGTGGGGGTTAGTAGTGGTGATTGGTGGTAGTGGTGGTTGGTGGTAGTGGTGGTGGTAGCGTGTGGGGGTAGTAGTGGTGATGGTGGTAGTGGTGGTGTGGTAGTGGTGGTGGTAGTGGTGGTGGTAGCGTGTGGGGGTAGTAGTGGTGATGGTGGTAGTGGTGGTGGTGGTAAGCGTGTGGGGGTAGCAGTGGTGATGGTGGTAGGTGGTGGTGGTGGGGAGTGGTGGTGGTAGTGGTGGTGGTAGCGTGTGGGGGTAGTAGTGGTGATGGTGGTAGTGATGGTGGTAGTGGTGGTGGTAGTGGTGGTGGTAGCGTGTGGGGGTAGTAGTGGTGATGGTGGTAGTGGTGGTAGTGGTGGTGGTAGTGGTGGTGGTAGCGTGTGGGGTAGTTGTGGTGATGGTGGGTAGTGGTGGTGGTAGTAGTGGTGGTGGTAGTGGTTGTGGTAGTGGTGGTGGTAGCGTGGTTGTGGTAGTAGTGGTGATGGTGGTAGTGGTGGTGGTGGTGGTGGTGTTAGTGGTGGTGGTAGCGTTGTGGGGGTAGTAGTGGTGATGGTGGTAGTCGTGGTGGAGTAGTGGTGGTGGTGTAGTGGTGGTGGTAGCGTGTAGGGGTAGTACTGGTGATGGTGGTAGTGGTGGTGATTAGCGTGTGGGGGTAGTAGTGGTGTGGTGGTAGTAGTGGTGGTGGTAGTGGTGGGAGCGATTGGGGGTAGTAGTGGTGATGGGTGGTAGTAGTGGTGGTGGTATGTGGTGTGGGGGGTAGCAGTGGTGATGGTGGTAGTAGTGGTGGTGGTAGGGTGTGTGGGGGTAGCAGTGGTGATGGTGGTAGTGGTGGTAGCGGTGGAGGTGGTAGTGGTGGTGGTAGTGGGGGTGGTAGCGTGCGGGGGTAGTAGTGGTGTGGTGGTAGTGATGGTGGTATTGTGGTGGTAGTGGTGGTGGTAGTGGTGGTGGTAGCGTGTGGGGGTAGTAGTAGGTGATGGTTGGGTAGTTGGTGATAGTGATGGTGGTAGTGGTGGTGGTAGGGTGTGGGGGTGTAGTAGAATGATGGTGGTAGTGGTGGTGGTAGCGTGTGGGGGTAGTAGTGGTGATGGTGGTTGTAGTGTGATAGTGATGGTGGTAGTGGTGGTGGTAGTGGTGGTGGTGCGTGTGGGGGTATGTAGTGGTTGATGGTGGTTAGAAGTGGTGTTGTAGGGGTGGGGGTTAGCAGTGGTATGGTGGTAGTGGCGGTGGTAGTGTGGTGGTAGTGGTGGTGTGTATGTGGTGGGTAGTGGTGGTGGTAGCGTGTGGGGGTAGTAGTGGTGATGGTGGTAGTGGTGGTGGTAGTGGTGGTAGCGTTGTGGGATAGAGTAGTGATGGTATGGGTGGGTGTTGCAACCCCTGAATGGGTTGCAATGATTATTATGTATATATATAATTATCTTTTCATATAATTTTATATTGCTTATATTTGCGATAATAGCTAAATCGTAAATATATTGCTTTATATCATTATTATTTGACTTAGTTAAATTTTGTTAGGTAGGGTGTAACATATTATGTGCTCAGTTCAAGTCTTGATTGTCTAACTACTGTAATTATCGCTCTTTGCTCGTTATTCTGCCGGCTTCTGTTGCTGGGCAGCAGCTGTCCACGGAGCTATCACATGATCGAGGGGGGGGGGTGTCCTCACCTCGCCTGAAGTATTCAGTCTGGTCTAGACTCTCTTGGTGGTTGGACGTATTCCTGACTAGTGCCTAACTCTCCCTTATTGGCTCTTGTTGGAGGATCGTCTCTGTAGCTTTGTTAGTTCTGTGAGACTCTGTTCACAGAACATTGTATAGACTTAGTGATTTTCGACGTTGTACTGAGGTTGTGTGTCTCTTAGATACTCTGAACAACTCAGGTCCTGAGCTGTAGCTTCTCACCTAACTTGTACTGGTTTCTGTGTATTATCACAGTCGGGGATTTTCTTATGCTGAACTTAGATTCAGTAGTATGGGAGTTTTGTGACTTTTGTGGAGGATCTGCAGATGGTCCCTCCTTAGTGTCGTTATATTATCTCCTTGATTCTGATTGTGTCGCAGTTGCTTGTTATATTGCTATTGGGCTTAGCATTCTTTTTATTGTTCAAGCAGACTGTTCTGATTGCCAGTTGGTCAAGAAGTTAGTATTTGAGGACTTTGTCAGTCACTTGTTTAAGTCTAGTCGAGTCGTGAGACATAACGAACTACTTACAGCACTTATACACTTACACACAAACTTACTTGTACATATTTATAATATCTTATTAAATGTTAATGTACCTGACGGTACTTAAGAATTATAAATGTGATATGTGCTTTCAGCACAATAATATTGAACTCGAGAGATTGATTTTATTTTGATTGCTGTGATTAATTTAATTTGATAATATACCTCTAGACTTAATAAATTTATTAAATTTTAATTTCTCTAGTTAGTAGCCTACCAGTTTTAATCCTGAAGCACTATTGAATAATACTGAATTCTAATGGATAATTGGACAAGGATACTGACTACTTGTTACGAAAACCCAGTAACAGGCTGGATGCTAGAAGGGCAGTCCTTTCTAGTATTCACTGGAGATCTCTAAGCTTTTAGAATCGCGTTTTTTGTAACAGTGATGGTGGTGGTGGTGGTGGTGGTGGTGGTGGTGGTGGTGGTGGTGGTGGTGGAGGTGGGGATGGTGGTGGTGGTAGTATTGTAGGTGGAGGTGGTGGTGGTGATGGTGGTGGTGGCGGTGGTGGTGGTGGTGGTGGTGGTGGGGGTGGCGATGTGGTAGTGGTAGTGATGGTGGTAGTGGTGGTGATGGTGGTGATAGTGGTACTAGTGGTGAGTCAGATAACAGCACAACACACCACAGAAATTTTCTCAGCTCACAGACATCCCTCAGCTCAATACCTTGCCTCAACTCATTCACACCACTAATCTCTTTAAGTTGCCTCAGCTCATTAACAAATCTCAGCTCACCAAAATATATACAAACTACAAGTACAGTCTCCTCAGCTTAATAACTAATATTCCTCAGCTAATCAAAGCTCACTCTCAGCTCACCTTCTCGACGTCTCTGAGGACTCTAAGGAGGTTGTGTCCTGCCAACATCTTTAGATCCTCTAAGGACCAGGTTGGATCCGCCAGGAGCTCCGCGAAGAGATGTGGATAGCGAGACACATCCTGAAGTCCTTCAGGCAGCCTGTCATAGACAAACATGTATATATATATATATATATATATATATATATATATTATACTCACGAAATGAGTGGTATTGATCAATAACAACGCTGCACTAACCAAGGAGTCGAACCCGTGTTGGTATTGATCAATACCACTTGTTTCGTGGGTACAATAATATAGTGCTTGTTGAGCTAGTACACAAATAGGGAGTAGAATGAAATTAGCTCAGAGGCGTCCACACCACCGTATGTCCTTCGATGGTGGGTACAACATCTAGCTTGGCTGGATGCACCATTGTTAAGGACTGTGTGGTCTAGTGGTCTAAGTTATTATTATTATAATCAAAAAGAAGCGCTAAGCCACAAGGGCTATACAGCGCTGCCTAGTGGTCTAAGGCGTCAGGCGTTTTCTCTTACCATGAGGCGGGCCAAAACAGCATGGGTTCGACTCCTTGGCTAGTGCAATGTTGTTATTATATATATATATATATATATTATATATATATAATATATATATATATATATATATATATATATATATATATATATATGTATATGTGTGTGTGTGTGTGTGTGTGTGTGTGTGTGTGTGTGTGTGTGTGTGTGTGTGTGTGTGTGTGTTGTGTGTAAATAGGAGGGTAACTTACTTGTTAACACCATCAAAGTCTGCACCAATGCCCACATGTTCTACTCCAGCAATGTTCCTCACATGGTTGATGTGGTCTATTACACACAGCAGACGGTACAGCAGACGCCACAGCAGACGCCACAGCAGACACCACAGCAGACGCCAAAAGAGACAAAAAAAACCGTAAGGCAGATAGAAAGAAAAAAAAATAATCTTAGTGAATCACAGGCAGTGAAAAAAAAAAACTAAGTAAATGCATGTAACTAGAAGAAATAACGTTCTAGAAATGTATATATATATATAAAGGAAAGGTAATAATAATAATAATAATAATAATAATAATACTCACCCACCACATCTTTAATAGTTGCTGTCTCACTACAGGTAAGAAAGTGAGTGTAGAAACTGACCATCACTACACCACCGTTGATGGCCTGTGAGAGGGGACCAGAATATCATATTACCAGACAGACAATATTGACTTATCAGATACCGGAAGATCAGGAATATATTGTCTTACCGAGTTCTGCTAGACATGGACAATGTTGTGTTGCGGAATGAAGCGAGAGACCGAGTGTTGTTGGGGCTCTTGTCTGCTTTGTTGTTTGTGTGTTGATAGTGTGTAGGATAGGCATATGTGTGTCCATGTAGCGATGTCTGCGTGAAGAGGTCTCTGCTTGTAGTATGTCTGCGTGAAGAGGTATCTGCTTGTAGTATATCTGCATATAGAGGTTTCTGCTTGTAGTACGTCTGCTTTTAGAGATGTCTACCTGTGGTATGTCTGCGTATAGAGGTGTCTGCTTGTACTACGTCTGCGTTTAGAGGTGTCTGCGTATGGTTCGCAGCTGCATCTGTAGATATCTTCCGTGAGGAGGAGGAGAGATACGGAAGAAGATGTCCAGAGTCTGCAACAGAAATCACAAACACGCATAACACAGACGCTCTCTCTTCTCTCTCTCTCTCTCTCTCTCTCTCTACTCACCACCTTCTTCAGAATATCGTCGGGGACGTTCCTGGGGTTCTTGCAGATAGCGTACACGGAGGAGTGACTGAAGATAACAGGGGCCCTGGACACCTCCAGGGCCGCCTTCATGGTAGCCTGGGACACGTGGGACAGGTCCACCAGCAGTCCCAGCCGGTTCATCTCCCTCACCACCGTCTGTACCAAATAAAAAAAAAGAAAACACAATTCCGTGGCTGTAACAAATCAACAAATCACCCCCACCCCCCCACACACACACAAACACTTCCCTCCACAATTACGAGACGAGACGCACAATACCGTGGCTAGAACATGTCAACAAATCATAGACGTTCCTCTTTCCTCACGAAAATACTAAAGGAAGCCTGGTAAAACTCTTCGTAAAGGTCTATTTCGAGTTGAAAAATCCCTATTTAGACTTGATAAATCCCTATTTAGACTTAAAAAAGGTCTATTTAAACTTGACGAAGCCCTATTAAGACTCGACAAAGCCCTGTTTAGAGTTGATAAAGCCCTATTAAGATTCGATAAAGCCCTATTTATATTTGATAAAACCCTATTAAGACTTGATAAAGCCCTATGTAGACTTAATAAACCCTATTTAGAATTGATAAAGCAGTATTAAGACTTAATAAAGCCCTATATAGACTTGATAAAGCCCTATTATAACCGATAAACCCAATTTAGAGAGAAAACGCTATTTACACTTTATAAAGTACCACTGAATATAAAGCACCATGTAGACTTTATAAAGTACCATTTAGATTTTATCAAGCACTATTTAGACTTTGTAAAGCGCCAATGACTTTATAAAGATTATCAACGTACCTTGCCGAAGTGTGTTAGACCCCGTGGTGACTCAGGGTCTTCCATGTCTGTCTCCCTGGCCCTGGCACACTCTGCCCTGAGGGAAGGAGAGTGCCACTGAGAACTGCCACTCTAGTGTTAAAACTAGCTCTATGAGAGAGAGAGAGAGAGAGAGAGAGAGAGAGAGAGAGAGAGAGAGAGAGAGAGAGAGAGAGAGAGAGAGAGAGAGAGAGAGAGACAGACAGACAGACAGACAGACAGACACCCAGAGTCATTTAGATCTGGCACTGTAGTATTAAAGCTAGCACTAAGAGGGAAGACTTACCACGGAGTACTGCAGGTGTGTGTGAGAGTGAGATATCTCACTCCGAGGTCTCTGAGTGCTCGCAGGACGCCCAGGGAGTTCTGAATGGCGTGTCCTCCCTCTACGCCAATCAGACTGGCAATAAGTCCTTCCCTGAATGCTTCCTCCAGCTCTGATAGGCAATCATATTAATAGTTAAAAGATCCACAATACCGTGGCTGGTACAATTTATAAGTAACCCACAATATCGTGGCTCTGTGAGACTGATGGCTCAGGGGAGAGAGAGAGAGAGAGAGAGAGAGAGAGAGAGAGAGAGAGAGAGAGAGAGAGAGAGAGAGAAGAGGAGAGAGAGAGAGAGAGAGAGTAAGAGATAGAGAGTGTGTAAGAGAGAGAGAGGAGAGAGAGAGAGAGAGAGAGAGAGAGAGAGAGAGAGAGAGAGAGAGAGAGAGAGAAGAGAGGAGAGGAGAGAGAGAGAGAGAGAGAGAGAGAGAGAGAGAGAGAGAGAGAGAATCTTATAACTCTAGATATCAATAAACTATACGAGCTATATTATATTACTTAATACAATATATCCCGATAAAAGCACCACAAACACTGTAACATAGATATATATTTTTGACTTGTAGTTAAAGAGACATATCATGGTTGTACAAGATTGTACATGTACAACCATGAACACACCATGTACGACCTTAACTGTATACAGGAAAGTTTACATAAGAATTAAGAATAAACAACAGAGTTTGGCCCAACGGAAAAATTTGGATTTGGGGGGTATTTTTTTTGGGGGTTTGGGGGCAGCGTCCGAAAAAGGGGGAAGGGGGGTTTAAGGTGGTGTTTTGGGGGAAGGGGACCCGAAGGGAAGAAGGGGTTTGGGTTGCGGACCGGGGGTCAAATTTTGGGGGAGGGGGGGGTTTTTTTCCCCAAAGGGGAGTGTAAGTGGGTTAGGGGGTATGGTTATTGGGGGGAAACCCAAGGGGGTGTAAGAATGTATGTGGGGGGGTTAAAGGGGTTTGCGGGGTGAAGGGGGGGGGGTTTTTGGGGGAAGGTAAAAAAAAGGGTAGGGGGGTTTTTGGGTGGGGTCTGAACCGCAGGGGAACGCCCCAAAACGGGTGAGGGGAGTTGGTTTTTTGGGTTTGGTTTGGGACCGCGGGCATCGTACCAAACGGGGTTAGGGGGTAGGGGGTTTTTTTGGGGGGCTGGGGCCCCCCAAACCCGAAAGGGGTAGGGGGGTAGGGTTTGGGTGTTAACTAGGGGGCCCGATCCCCAGCGTGGTTGGGAGGGTAGTGGTATTGGGGGGTTTTGGGGGGCCAGAAAACCCAGCGTGATTGGGGGGGGGTTGTTTTTTTTTGGGGTTGGAGGGGTCAAACCCCGAAGGGGGGGAGGGTTTTGGTTTTTGGGATGGGGGTGTGAGGGGGGGGCGGGCCGGGGGAGAGGGAAATTTAAATTGTGGTGTGGGGAAAGGGGAGGGGGTTTTTTTAACCGAGGGAAAGGGGAAAAGGGAAGGGTGTAGGGGGGGGGGAAAAAAAGGGGGTTTGGGGGGTTAAATTTTTTGTTGGACCCAAGCCCCCGGGAGGGTAGGAAAATTTTTTTGGTGAAGAGAGGGGTACTACCCGACGGGAAAAGGGGAAAGGGGGAGGGGGTTAGGTGGGTGTTCGGGGCCCGGGCACGTACGAACCCCAAAAAGGAGTGTGGGGAGTGGGGTTTTTTTTTAAAACTGAGGGAGAGAAAAGGGGGTTTAAAGGGGGGTGGTTTGGGGTCAACCCGGGGACGTAAAAAGGGGAGGGAGGTGGGGGAGGGGGATTTGGGGCCAGATCCCCAGAAGTAAGGGGGGGGGGTGGGGTTTGTGGGGGGGGGGGGGAAAAAAAGGGGAAGGGGAGTGTTTAATGGGGTGGGGAAGGGGGGTTGGGTTTTTTTGGGGGAGTTTGGGGGGGGGAAGGGTCCAAAACTGAGGAGGGGGGGTAGGGGATTGTGGGTTTTGAGTGGGGAGTGTTTTGGAGTGAGGGGGGAGGTGTTTTTGGGGGGTTTGAGTGAGGGAGTGTTTGGTTTGTGTTAAGGGTATGGTTATTGTGGGGGGAAGGGGGGTAAAAAAAATTGGAGGGGGAGTGGGTTTTGTGGGGGTTTGGGGGGTTTTTGGGGGTAGAAGCCGGGGGTTTAAGAATGGGTTTTAAAATTTGTGATGTGGTGGGGAGGGGCCCAAAACCCCAAAGTGGTAGGGGGGATTTTTTGGGGTGTGTTAAGGGGCCGAATCCCCAAAGTGGAAGTTGGGGGGTTTTAGGGGATTTTGGGTTTGGGGGGGTTTAGCGGGGGAAAAGGGGGTTTAAGTGGGTGAGGTGAGGGAGGTGGTTTGGGGGTGAATTTGGTGGGGGGAGTTCCGTGTGGGGGGGGAGGTGGTTTGTTTTTTGGGGGGGGGGTTTTTTTTGGGGTTAAAGGGGGTGAAAAATGGAGTGGGGGGGTGGGGTAGTTTTTGGTGGGGTCCCGGGGGGGGTTTTTGAAGGGGAAAGGTGTGGTGGGAGGGGTGGGTTATTTTTGTGAGTGGGGGACGGTAGTGGAGTGGGGGGGTTTTTTTAATGGGGGTCAACCCGAGGATTTAAAGGGGAAGGGGGGTTTTTGGAGGGGTAGGGGGGGTTTTTTTTGGGTTTGGGGGGTTAGATCCGGGGCCCGAAATAAAAGGGAAGGGGGGTTGGTTTTGTGTTGGCTGACCGAGGGACGAACATAAGTTGGGGGGTTTGGGGGTTTTAATTTTTTTGGGGTAAAGGGGTAAAAAGAAAAATTTTTTAGAAAATTTTTCTGATTTAATCGAAATAAGAAACCCAAAAAAAATATTATGTGGGTTTGGGGGGTTATTAAATTTTAAAATTTTGGGGAAAAATGTTTTTTCCCCCCCCAAAAAATAAAAAAAAAAACCCAAAACCCAAAATAAAAAAATTTTTTTTAAAAAAAAACCCCTCCCCCCAAAAAAAAAAAAAAAAAAAAACCCCCCCAAAAAAAAAAAAAATTTAAAAAAAATTTTAAACCGAAGGGAAAAAAAAGGGTTGGGGTTTGGGAAAGAAGGGGGTAAAGGGAAACGGGAGGGGGGAAAGGGGGGACTGGGGAAGGGGGGGAAACAAAAAAAGGGGAAAAAATAAATTTAAAAAACCCCAAAACATTTTTTAAGATTAAGTAAAAAGGGGGAAGTGGAAGGGAAAAAATTCAGGGGTTTTCCCCCAAAATAAAATTTTTTTTTTCCCCAAAAAAAAAATTTTAAAAAATAAAAACAAAAACAAAAAAAAAACCCCCCCCCAAAAAAAAAAAAACCCCCCAAAAAACAAAAAAAAACCCCCAACTTCCCCAAAACCCCCCAACCCCAAAGGGAGAACTAAAAATCCAAAAAACCCCCAAAAACAAAAAATTTCACAAAAAAAACACAAAAAACAACCACAAAAAAACCCAAACAACAAAAACCCCAAAAAACAAAAACAAAACAAACCAAAAAACAACAAACCTTTTCCCAACAAAAAACCCACAAAAAAAATCCCCCCCCAAAACCCCAAAAAAAAACTTTAAAAAAACCCCAAAAACCCCAAAAAAATCCCCCAAAAAAACCCCTTTGGAAAATGGGGTAAAAATCCTACCCAAAAAAGGGGGGGTTTGGTAAAAAAAAAAATTTAAAATACAAAACCCCCCCAACAAAAAACCCCAAAAACCCAAAAACAAAAAACCAAAAAAAAACAAAATTAAAAAAAACTTAACCAAAAAAACCGGGATTTTAAGGGAATTTTAACCAAGGGTGGGTTTTTGGGAATTTGGGGGTAACCTTTGGGTATTTTTTCCCCCCAAAGTTTCCCCGGGGAGGGGGGGGGGAAAAAAACCCCCCCCCCCCTTGGGGTTTTTTAAAAAAAAAAAAAAAACAAACAAAAAAAAAACAAAAACCCAAAAAAAAAAAAAAAAAAACCCAAACAAAAAAAACAAAAAACAAAAAATAACAAAACCAACAAATAAATTTAAAAGTTTCCCAAGGTAAAGGATTGAGGTTTAAACAAGATGAGGTTACGTAAGCTTGAAGGTTGGGGTTTCGAATTAAAAAATGGATAAAGTAATTTAAGAAGTTAAGGATCGTGGCTAAAAAAGGGGGAAATTTACAAATTTTTAAAAAGGGGAAGATTAAATTTTAAAAAAAAATTAAGATATCGTGAGAAAAAAGAGAAGAGAAAAGAGATTAAGAAAAATTAAGGGTTACGTTTTTAAAACGAAAAATATACAGTGAGCTAAAAGAGAAAATTTAAGTGACTTAAAAGTTTTACTGGAAAAAAAAAGAGTAAAAAATGAAATTTAAAAAGGGAGGATAACAGTAAGCTTAAACAAGAGTTAAGAGATACAGTAATTTTAAACAAGGTGAAGAGTATACTAATTTAAAACAAGATTTAAAGAGTATACAGTAGAGCTTAAACAAGAGTGAAATTTACATAGAGTTTAAACAAGAGGAAGAGTATACAGTAAGCTTAAACAAGAGTTAAGGTATACAGTAGAGCTTAAACAAGATTAAAGGGTTTAACAGAAAGCTTAAACAAGAGTTAAGAGTATACGAGAGCTTAAACAAGAGTGAAAGTAACAGTAAGCTTAAAAAAGATGAAGAGTATACATGAGTTTAAACGGGTGGGGGGAGTATAAGAGAGTTTAAAAAAGATTTAAAGAGATACAGTAGAGCTTAAACAAGATTTAAAAAAAAGAGTTTAAAACAAGAGTTAAGAGTAAAAGAAAGCAAAAAACCCCAAAAGTTTAAGAGTATACAGAAGAGTTTAAAAAAAAATTTTAAGGTTACAGTAGAGCTTAAACAAGATTTTAAGAGTATACAGAAGAGCTTAAACAAGATTAAGAGTTACAGTAGATTTAAACAAGATTTTGGTATACATAGAGCTTAAACAAGGTTTATAAACAAAAGTTTAAACAAGAGTGAAGAGTATCGGGAAGCTTAAACAAGAGTGAAGAGTATACGGGAAGCTTAAAAAAGATGAAATATACAGTAGAGCTTAAAAAAGTTAAATATCTAGACTTAAAAAGAGTTAAGAGTATACATAGGCTTAAACAAAGTTAAATATACAGTAGAGCTTAAACAGAGTGGGGGGTAAAGTGGGCTTAAAACAAGATTTAAGAGTATACAGTAAGCTTAAACAAATTTAAGATATACAGTAG